ATCACCAAACCCTGGGGACCTGACCCAGCAGCCACCCAAGGTGTCTCGCTTTGTGCAGTGGGTGAGTTCCCAAAATACCAGCTGCAAATGGGCTTCTGTTCACGCTGTCACTCACAGGCAAATGCACCTCCTTCTTCAGTCTGAAGCCCATTCCTCCTTGAGCGGGGCAGGAGAGGCTTCGCGAGAGGCAGCTCTGGAGGAGTGAGGGGAGTGTGGGCCCAGGACCAGGGAGGGGAGCTTGTTCTATGCGGGACAAGTCCAGCTGGCCAGTGTGGCTGGAGGGAAACGGTGCTGCTGGTGTTTTAGCTGATGAGTCTGTTTTGTATGGAGCAAAAGTCAGGGAGTGGCCAGTTGCTTACAATGGCTGGATGACGCCAGAACTGACCTCAGGCCCAGCGCTGTCCCACCCCCTCCTGGGATACACTTCCCACCAGATGCCCAGGAGCATTGCCTTTGTTAGAGATTACCAGAAAAAAACACACACACCCCCACAGGGTGTGTGAGAGAGAGGCAACCCTAAAGAAGAAGCTAAAACCCCACGACCCCACTACCCAGACACTGACTCTGGAACATTCTGGATTTCAGCCCTCACCGTGTACACTCTGGCTCTGCAATCCACCACGGCCTTTGAAAAAGTTTTCCAGGCCAGGCATGGTGGCTCACACCTGTAATCCCTGCACTTTGGGAGGCCGAGGCAGGAGGATCACGAGGTCAAGAGTTTGAGACCAGCCTGACCAACATGGTGAAACCCCTACTAAAAATACAAAAATTAGCTGGGCGTGGTGGCACATGCCTGTAATCCCAGCTACTCTGGAGGCTGAGGCAGAAGAATCGCTTGAGCCCGGGAGGCGGAGGTTGCAGTGAGTCGAGATTGCGCCATTGCACTCCAGCCTGGGCAACAGAGTGAGACTCCATCTCAAAAAAAAAAAAAAAAAAAGAAGAAGAAAAAGAAAAGAAAAGTCTTTCTAAAGGTTATCTCCCTATAAACACCTTCCCAAAGCACCCCTCACCCTTAGGATCAGCCCCACACTCCTGCCCCTGGCCCAGGAGGCCTGCGTGGACCAGCATCTGCCCCGCAGCCCTGCCTCTCCCACTTCCCAATGCTCCCAGTGCTCTCTGCTCCCACCCTAGGGCCCCTGCAGCCACCGTGTCCTCTGCCTGGAACGGGTTCTGCCCAGATCTGCACAAGGCTGCCTCATTCTCACCCTCAGGCCTGGCCCAACATCCCCTCCTCAGGGAGGCCTTCCGTGACCACCCAGGTGAATGGCCATCACCACACGTCCCCAGGTGGGTTCCCGACAGACCTCATAGCTCTTTCCAATGAACAGCTCCCCCACAGCCCTCACATCTACGGAGCCACAGTGCCGCCGCAGCAGGCTGAGTGGTAGACGCCAGTTCATGGGGGCAATCATAACATGTACACAGCACTTAACAGTTTCAAAGCTTGATTCTTTCCTCCATGCCAACAGAGCCTCAACCTTTGGAGGGACGTGCGGCAGGGGAGCCTAACCGCCCACATTTAAAATGAAGCCCAGAGGGGTCAGGTGGGTGCTGCAGTCACCCGGGTAGGAAGCAGATCCAGGATGTCCAACTCGAGACAGCATCGCCCACACCCTTACTTCCGGTTAGGGAGGATTCTCCACAAGGAGAGGCAGCACAGAGCTACACCAGGAGTCAGCGCTGGGTCCCACCGCCCGGTGTGAATCCCAGTTCTGCCATTTACAACGTGTGTGACTTTGAGCAAGTGACTTCACTGCTCTGGGCCTTGGTTTTCTCCTCTGTAAAATGGGAATCATAATAGTTCCTGCCTCATTCCACTGTCAGGAGGATTAAATGAGTTACTAATACACACAAACAGTTTGTAAAAGCACCCAGCACTACTAAGTGCTCAGTAAACTTGAGCTTTAAAGAAAAACACCCCTGGCCAAATGCATGGAATAGGTGCACAGTCCAACTCTCAGCCATGATCACCAAGCCCTGGGGACCTGACCCAGCAGCCACCCAAGGTGTCTCACTTTGTGCAGCGGATGAGTTCCCAAAATACCAGCTGCAAATGGGCTTCTGTTCACGCTGTCACTCACAGGCAAATGCTCCTCCTTCCTCAGTCTGAAGCCCATTCCTCCTTGAGTGGCGGCCCTGACATCTGCAAACACTTCAAGGCAGCAGAGGGGAGAGGCCTGGGGCAAACAATCTTTTGTAGAAGGAAGACCCCTTTACAAGCTGTAAGTTCACACTTTCCACACCTAGTAACACAGGCAAATAAAAACCAGCCAAACTACAAGTGTGAATTATCCAGAAGATATCCTCCCAAACGCCCATGGGAGGGCATTTATTGTTCTATTAGAGGCAGGTAGAGAGGGCCAGGCGCATTAGCTCATGCCTGTAATCCCAGCATTTTGGGAGGCTGAGGCAGGTGGATCACTTGCGGTCAGGAGTTCAAGAACAGCCTGGCCAACTGATGAAACTCCGTCTACTAAAAATACAAAAGTTAGCCAGGCTTCATGGCACATGCCTGTAATCCCAGCTACTTAAGAGGCTGAGGCAAGAGAATCGCTTGAACACGGGAGGCAGAGGTTGCAGTGAGTCAAGATCATGCCACTACACTCCAGCCTGGGCAACAGAGGGAAACTCGGTCTAAAAAAAAAAAAAAAAAAAAACAGGTAGAGGGAGCTTTCTAAACGGCCCATTTCCATGGGCTGGCCCTACCAAGCAAAACACTTCCCTGTACCCCACCCCCGCCCCACCACCGCCACCTACAGAGTCGCAGTCACACCCATCCCCTTTCCAGCCCCAGCACCCTCCAAACCCCCCTGCCTCGGCCACAGCACGCCATTCCTCCTTGCAAGTGCCCCCCAGCACACCATGGCCCCAGCTGTCCCCCTCATGAAACTCCTCTCTTCCCTCTGCAGCCGCCCAACCCCTCTGTTGAGACCCAGGCCCCAAGTCAGCTACTCCAGGAAGCCTTCCCCCGACCCGCAGTTAGCTGCCATCAGCCCCTGCATGCTGATCCCACAGCCTTTGGTGCCCACACCCACCACACATGCGATTATCTGGTTCATTCCCTCACTCCACGCTGACGCGGGCACCTAGAAGGCCAGGCTGTGTGTGAGAGACAGTCCTCACTCTTCAGAATCTCCATTCTCCTCTGTCAAATAGGGATGCAAAGGGTACCCACCTCAAATAGCTGTTCCCAAATTCAACAAGGCAGAGGTGATGAGAGCCTGCCACCCAGTGCCCGGCACACAGTGGGGGCTTGACCCAGGGTGACCCCAGCCTCTCTGCCCTGGAAACGGCCTCTTGACGCAACAAAGCAGAGCCTCCTGTCTTTTAAAACCCACGGCAGATGGGACAAGCAGCGTCCCTCGGGGAAGGATCCCCTCCTGAAAGGCAGCCCAGACCTGACGCTCGTGTGGGCAAGGTGAGAATCGCAGAGCAGGCCTGCAGGAGCCCTCTCCCCCCGGCCTGCACTTCCTTCAGCCCAAACAGAGTCTTTGATTAGAATTTCCCATTTGAAAAATCAATATTTAAAGCCCTCCGCCTGCCAAACAGAAGGGAAGGCCTTGCTTGTAAATATTTGTCGCCTGGCAGAGTCGGGCCCCTGGCTCGCCGCGGCTGCCCTGCCTCGCTCCTGGCCCTCTGCTCGTGCAGTCCCAGCCAACTGCACAGCAGGACGGCCCTGGGGAGGCGGAAGGGACCGTCTGGCAGCCACGTGGGGCTTTGAAGGAAGGTGAGCGGCCCCGCACCCACGCCTCCACGGCAGCAGGCCTGGGTGCTGGGCTGCACAGGGACCATCCATCTGTCTTCCCAGGGTGGGGACAGAGATGCCTCACTGTGCAGTTTCTCTGGATTCCAAGGCAAGCGAGTTCTTCCAGCAGGTCCCCCAGGTTTATTTCTTATTTTGGAAAAAAAGCACAAAGACAAAACCCAGGGGCCGTGCTTATAAATGACTGCCCACCAGGGCACCACTGCGTGGGAAAGGGCTCTGCTGCAGAGAGAAGCAGCCGCTGCCCACCTCTGGTCCCTGGAGAAACCATCTCCATGGCAGTGGGTGACTGAGCTAGGATGAACCAGCTGAGCACCCACCCCGACACCACCGTTCTCAGTGTCATTCATTCATTTGCCGGCTCAGCCATTCATTCACTCATTCATCAATTTTTTTTTTGGAGACAGTCTCTCTCTGTCACCAGGCTGGAGTGCAGTGATGTGATCTCAGCTCACTACAACCTCCACCTCTCAGTTCATGTGATTCACCTGCCTCAGACTCCCAAGTAGCTGGGATTACAGGTGCTCACCACCACACCCAGTTACATTTTTGTATTTTTAGTAGAGACAAGCTTTCACCATGTCGGCCAGGCTGGTCTCAAACTCCTCACCTCAGGTGATCCACCCACCTCGGCCTCCCTAAGTGCTGGGATTACAGGTGTGAGCCAGCTTGCCCGGCCTCATTCATCAATTCATCCTTCCTCAGTTTGAAGCCTATTCCTCCTTGAGAGGGGGCCCTGACATCTGCAAACACTTTGAGGCAGCAGAGGGGCGAGGCCTGGAGCAAAGAACCTTGTGTAAAAGGAAGACCCCTTTACAAGGTGTAAGTTCACACTTTCCACACATAGTAACCCAGGGAAATAAAAGTCAGCCAAACTACAAATATTATCCAGAAGGTGTCCTCCCAAACACCCCTACCTTTGCCAGGCACTGGGGCCTGGACACACAAAGGGACAGAGACATGAGCAAAGTCCCTCTGGGAGGGGGTCTTCCAGGCCAAAAATAAATCCCACAAACAAATGGAAAGTCACAACGAAGGCAGGTGATGGAGGAGGAGAGGTCCCAGGCGGATGGGAGAGAAAGGGGCATCTGGTCCCAGAGGTCAGGGAGGCTGACGAGGCAGGCACAGGTGAAGCAGGAGGGAAAGGCAGCCAGGGAGGGTGGCAGCCTCGGGAGCTGGCAGGAGCTTCCTGCTTCCTGCTCAGCACATCCACCCACCCAGGGCCGGAGGGACCTACCCAGCCACTCGTTGAATTTCTTCACCTCGCTCGGGAGCCCCAGCTCGGTGAAGTCCCCAGCATGGATCAGCACGTCGCCGTATGGCATCTGGATGGGGTCTGTCCTTGAGTGGGTGTCAGAGACGCAGACGAAGCGAGTGTAGCCTGGAGGTTTGGGGGCATCGTGAGGCACCGGGTCCACCCTGCCGGGAGAGAAGACACTGCAGGTCAGGAGATCGTGGAGCCTCGGGCCTGCGGGTAGTGCCTCCGCAGCCCCGTCCATGGCAGCTCACAGCCCTGTCAATGCCAGTCAGATCCGCCAGACCAGGGACTGGACGCCCAGCCTTCCCAGCGGGCCCCCGGCCCGATGCTGGACTTCCCTCCTCACTAGCCAGGCAAAGCTTATTTGGCGCCCGAGCTTCAGTTTCCCTGTCTGTAACACGGAAACCTCGGAGGGCAGCTGTGAAGGTTAAAGGGGGTGAGAAGCAGGTGCAGCGAGTATCTGCCCCTGGAGCTGAATCGCTGCACAGCTTCTGGCCTTTGGTTCATCATCACCCCCAGAGGGGCCTTTTCAAGATGTCTTGTCTTTCCCCAGACTCACCTCCCTCCCATGAAGATTTAGCAGCACAGAGATGTCAGATGTGTGTTCAGGTCACTCACGTCCGCCTCCGCTTTGTAAGAGAAAGATGTTCTTTTCACTCCCCAAGCACCAGATTTTACCCCTTGGGGGCACTGTGGCCCCCACTGAGACCACATGGAGAAAAGGCCTACGGGCACGTGGTGAGGACGACCCCCAAGGCTGTGCAGGCAGGGCGTATGCACCATCGGGGGTGGGGGGAGGTTCAGGAGAGCATGTGAAATACACCTAAAGGAAAGGTGTGTCCGTTTTTTAAAACTATAAGACCGTGTGATCATTTCTACACTTTCCAGGGCTGTGTCAGAAAACACTCCTGGAGTCACAGAAGACCAGGCTTTACACAGCCCAGGTCTGCACATCTGTCAAATGAAGCTACTCCACTGAGCAAAAATAACATTTTAAATAGCGGCACAGGCCGTGTGCAGTGACTCATGCCTGTAATCCTAGCACTTTGGGAGGCCGGGGCGGGAGGATCACGAGGTCAGGAGTTTGTGACCAGCCTGACCAACATGGTGAAACCCCAAGTCTGCTGAAAATTCAAACATTAGCCGGGCATGGTGCCATGTGCCTGTAATCCCAGCTACTCGGGAGGCTGAGGCAGGAAAATCTCTTGAACCCGGGAGGCAGAGGTTGCAGTGAACTGAGATCACACCACTGCATTCCAGCCTGGGCGACAGTGTGAGACTCCGTTTCAGAAAAAAAAAAAAAAAGCAGCACAAATGTAGGTTTTTGTGCCTCAGGAGCCCATCGTGGTCCTCTCATTTGACAGAGGAGGATGCCGAGATCCAGCCGGGCTGAGCAAGCGGCCGTGGGCACCCCCAGTGCAGAAACATGGGCATGGACTGAGACCCCGGCTCCCCACCCAGCCCTGTCTCCACATGTTGCCTCCCCAGTTGAATGGTTTTACCAGGCTCAAAACTCTTAAAAACAATGCAATGACATTTCAACAAGCAGCTCTCTCCAAATGAGTATGCCGCTCGAGGAGTTGTGTTTAAATCTAATTATGCGGCAAACCAAAAGCGGTGCCATATCAGTTACATAAATACTTTTAAAGACATCTTTCTAATTATCCTTTTTTTTCAGACAATATACTTCGAAGAAATTTAATTAACACCTTACGAGAGACGTGGGTTCGGCATGCTAATGTGCGGGGCACACTACCGTGTTCCACGTACCGCAGCCGCAGCCGCCGGCGCCGCCCCAGCCTCTCCCCACCTCGATGGATGCATCGGCGGGAACGCACACCTGGGGCCCCTTCCTGGGGGTTGTTCAGCCAAGGGAGAATCCCAGCAAGTCAGAGCTGGGCCGGACTGGGAGGTAAAGGAATCTGAGCCCGATGATGACCCACCAGGGAGGTGTTAGGAGCTCTTCCCCTTCTCCTCCCTTCGCTCACTTCACCAAATACGACACATCCTGAATGACCACTGTGTGCCAGCCCCGAGCTCCACGGAGGGCCACAGGGATGAACCAGGCTGACCCCTACCCACGACGAGCACAGGGACTGATGGCAGCAACAGACTTGGCCAGACGAGGACAATACAACCAGCACCTTTGACGAGGCTGCAGAGGGGACAGAACCCAGAGAAGGCTTTAACCTGGCCTGGGGTCTCCTGGAAGCTCCCATCAGGGCAGTGTCTGAGCTGGTCTGGAAGCTGCAATCTCCCTTCCAGGAATTCCCACCACTCCTCTGTCCTCTGGGGCCCCCAGTGACCCCCTCTCCCCATGACAGAGAGCTGGTGTGACCTACACACCTTGCCAGCCTCACCACCCACAGCTGATCAGACCAAGGGCAGTCAATTGTTCTGTGCTACTGGCCTGGCACAGGAACTCAAGTGAGCCAATCAAATGCATTCGTTCAGATGCTCCCTCTCCTCCCTTTCTCTCCCTCTTTCCCTCTCTTCTCTCTCCTTCCCTCTCCTTCCTTCCTCTTTCCCTCCCTCTCCTCCCTTTCTCTCCCTCTTTCCCTCTCTCCTCCCTCCCTCTCTGTCTGTGTGTGTCTCTGTGTCTCTAAGGTTTCAAAGGTGTCATAAGGTGACAAAGACTAAGTCAAAGACATAAAGAGAAGATGAAGAAGGGAGAAGGGGGAACACAATTCCACCCCCGCAGCTGCTGGGCCCCCGACAGTCCGCCCTCCCGGGAGCCCCACCTAACAGAGGAGCCGTGAGCAGCCCCAGCTCCCGCCCACCACCAGCCAGCCAGGAGCAGTGCGGTTCTCAGGGCTCTGGTTGGGCTGGGCCTGCTGCTGGAGCCAGAGCTGTTTAATTAACTCTGCTCTAACTTCCCTGCACCCCGAGGCTTCTGGAGCACAGCAAAGACGCAGACCCAGTCATCCCCAGAGAAAAAGATAGACTCGCATTTCCCGACACAGTCCCCCAGCTGTTTGGATTGAACAAATGCTCGACTTTGAAATAATAACAACAATGATTTCAACGATCCCCGCACGTCAACAGCTCGTTATGTGCTGGGCACATTACGGGCAGTGGCTCCATTCGCTCTCATAATGACCATCCACGCAGGGTACTATGGGAAGCCCCATCTCACAGGTGAGCAAACTGAGGCTCCATGATCTTAGCTACAGAAGCTGGTGCAGCTGAAATTTGAAGCTGGTTTTTGGTTCCAGAACTCAGACCGGACTTCATTTCATCCCAACAATCTATGGACGAATCTTACTGAATGCCTCTAAACGCCAGGCACCTGCTTGGTATAAGGACACATCTGCGGTCAGGACACCCATAGAGGCCACTGGGGTGAAGACCCAGAAACACTGACTATGTCCGCAAGTGAAGAAAAAAGCAAAAAGAGTCAAAATATGGAGAAAGAGGCCGGCCACAATGGTTCACACCTGTAATCCCCGCACTTCGGGAGGCCAAGGCGGGTGGATCACTTGAGGTCAGGAGTTCGAGACCAATCTGGCCAACGTGCTGAAACCTCATCTCTACTAAAAATACAAACATTAGCCAGGCATTGTGGTGCGCACCTGTAGTCCCAGCTACTTGGGTGGCTGAGACAGGAGAATTGTTTGAACCTGGGCGGGGTGGGGGGGGCGGAAGTGACAGTGAGCTGAGATCACGCCACTACACTCCAGCCTGGGTGACCGAGTGAGATTCCGTCTAAAAAAGAAAATTTTAATAAATAAATATATATACATAAAGGGAGAGGGAGAAAGAGGTAATAGCCGAGAGGGCATGACTTGAAGACCCAGCTATACCTGAAGCTAGACCCAAACCTGAAATTCTTAACATGGGCCAGTAGACTCCTTTTCATCCTTAATGCAACTTACATGGTGTTTCTGATACTTGCAATGACAATGAAAAGTTAGTCCTTGCCCAAGCTCCCAGCTACTAAGTTAGAGAATGGATTTGAACCCAGGACTTCACAACAGGAACCTGGGCATCTAATCTCAACACCTGGTAACCAAAAAAAAAAAAAAAAAAAAAAGAAAAAATGCTAAATGATTCTTTCTCAGTGACGTTCTGCAGAGTCCGGAGATAAGACATGGCAGCAAAGCCTTCTTGGAGCCAAACTCAACTTCCCCAAAGCTTCTGCCTGCTGGGGCGGCTGTGAGGCCCAACACCCGTCACCAGCTCCTCCCAGCCTACGCCCATCTTCCCATGGAATGCCTGGCAGCAGGAACAGTACAGAGGAGAGGATACAGCCTCCGGCGCCAGGACCCCAGGCTGGCACCCCAGCTCAGTGACCTCCTCCTCACTGTGCCCCTGGACCCTACCAGGCTCCAGCTCTGCTCTGTAGGGTAGGGACAAGCCACTACCTCTTTGTCATGTTGTGAGAACATAACGGACCTTCACAGCTGCAGCCCTGATGCTAACGCCCCTGCAGTGCACTCTGCATCCTGCTCTGGGCTCTTTCTCTCCCATAAGCCACTGGCTCTGTGGAAGTGCACTTCCTGGTCTCAAAAGCCCAGACGGGCATCAGAAGCAGAAGCTGTCACCCTCCTGTAACCCTATTCCTCCAGAAATGGGGTGCTCGGCCACCTGAAAGGTCCAGGCAGGAACAGCTTCCCACCACTCGTCCAGCTGTGTCACTGGGCATCAACCATGGTGCTTTAGTAGGAAGGGACTAGTGGGGAAACTGAGGCCTGGGGAGAAGCCATGACTGGCTGGCTCAGCATCACGTAACAACTGCCCTAAATCCTTGCCCAGTGCTCTTCTCACAAAGCACTGGATCCACGGGGACACTGGTCACAGGACCCTCCTGTGTCCCCATGCCTGTCCTTTCTTCCTGCCTCCTGGCTTCTGCTCTTGCTGGACCCTCTTCCTAAAGTGGCCCACTCCACGGAGGCCACAGTGCAGCTGGTCCTCCAGCCCCAGGGATTATGCCGCCCCCGCCCCCGCCCCCACTGAAAGCCCTCCGTGATCCCTGACACTCCTCCTGGGTCTTGACCCCTGTCTCACTCTCACTCCCTCCTCTCTCCTGCTTCCTATAGCCTGTGCGAGGCACTAGGCATGCAGCCCCATGCTCAGGGAGGGGAGAGATGCTTGGGAAATCCTCCCACAGATGAACGTGTCCGCACAGACTGAACCACGTGCCACAAAGTATGTGCCACCAAGCCCAGCGCTGATCACCTAGAGATAGAGCAGGGAGGACTTCCCTGAGGTAGTGACGCCTAGGTGAGACCTGAAGGCAGAGTCAGTGCTCACAGGGCAAACAGTTGGGATCAGAGGGAACAGCATGTGCAAAGCCCTGAGGCAGGAGGAAGACTGGAATGTTCCAGAAACCGGAAGCAGCCACTGCATCTGCTGCCCAGCAGGACAGGGATGGAGAATGAGGCTTGAGAGGTAGGTGGTGCCGGGCTGTGAGTCCTGCCCGCCTGCTTGGCCCCTTGTCCCCCTCCCTGCGCTCCAGGCTGAGCTCTGTGTCACCCGCAGGAGTCTCTGAGTGTGTGGACAGGCCAAGGGGCCACACGGCACTGGGTGGGAGTCCCAGGTCCCCACACAAACGTTCCTAGGCCTCAGCGTCCTCATCTGTAGAGAGGGGGTCCATGCCGACCTGGCATAGCAGGGAGGGCCAGGAACAAGGCACAAAGGGGCCACTCCAGGCCTGGCACGCAGCTGCGCCCCCCCCCCACTCTGCCGTAGCTTTAAGGACTCGGTGCAGCCTGAGGGGCTCGCAGAGTCTTTAAGCCATGACCCAAGTCACCGCCATAACACCTTTTAAAGGTCAGAGACAAGTTGCTGTGCCTGATGCCATGGCCCCGGGGACCTACATGAGACCTCCAGGATGACCCTGTCCCCCAACACTCACTCTTGCCTTCTGACTGACCACCAGGCCACTGGTCCACCTACCCACCCAGGGCGGAAGGGCTGGGCCTGGAAGGGCCTCCTGAGACCCCCGAGGGTTTCTCAGTTGCCAGGGCAGGGAGTCTTCAGCCTCTGGCTCACATCCCAGAGGCCCAGCTCCGGAGATTCATTACCCAAGCGAAGGCGGCCTCGTCACCAGCAGGGTCTCTGGGGGCAGCTGCATAAATCACACGGCTCAATCAGAGGCCATGTTTGGACTGTCACTGTTGTTATTAAATATAAATTGTGGATTTATTAAATAAGGCCCCTCGCTCCCTCACCCCAGAGACAAAGCCCAGGGTGGCGACAAATCACACATCGGGAAGTGGCAGCCATCCCCCCGCCCGGCTCCTGGGAAGGAGCAGCCAACTCACCAAGGAAATCCAGTCAGCCACCTCCAGCAGCCTGCACGCTTCCGAGCTTGGCGTGTGGAGTCTGAATGAAGGGGCGGTGGGAGGCAGCAGCCCCCTCATCCCTGTGCCCACCCTGGCTTCATGCGGCTGTGTGCAAAGTTGTGTTTCAAAGCCGGAGCTCGAAGCTCGCTCTCCCCAGGGCACCACCCAAAGCCCAGCTGCCTCAGAGCCCCAGAGCCAGTGGGAGCCAGGAACCCTCCCCACTGCCAGAGGTGGTGGCGCAGAGCAGTCCAGGATGGGGTGGGGCCGGCCAGGTGTGAATCCTCCCGGGGCCTGCTCCAGCTCCCCAGCTAAGCTCTTTCTCCACAGCACTCACCACCGCCAGCATCACAGGACCAGCTGCTAACTGCCTGCCATCCACCGGATGTAATCACAGCACAGGCAGGGGTGCCTTTGATCACTGCTGGGTCCCAAGGACCTCACCAGGCCTGGGTGTGCTACCAACGCTGAACACTTGCTGCCCCCGGGCCTTCTCTACGTGGACTTAACCATTTCATCCTCAGTATTACTGTGCGCAGCATTTTTTTCACCCCACAAGAGCCAGTTTTCACCCCTTGGAGGTGCTATTGCCTCCACTGAGAATGCGTGGACTAACCTCACGGGCAGTGAGGACCAGCTCCCCGAGCTGTGCAGACTGTGCAGAGCGCACGCGTCATCCAAAGAGGGTGGTGCAGGAAGGGGCAGTTTCAGGGGAACATGTGGTCCCTCCACCTGGAGGAGCCAGCTCTAGTTTAGGGAAACTGAGGCACCCAGCGGCATGAACCGCATCCAAGCAGGCAAGCTCAGAGCTCAAGGTCCTAAACGGGGAGAAGCCCAGCAGCTCATAGGCATCCCAAACGCGTGAATAAGTGAATGACTCAACAAACGAACGAATGACCCTGTGTTGCTCAGTTAAATGGGGTGATCACCCCCTCTCATTCAGTCATTCACTGCCCTTTCTCAGGACGCAGCCTGGCCTCCAGGGGTCTGCAGTACCTCCTGCACAGGGCCCCCACCCCTGACCCAGCTGGACCTCCCTGCCTCCCTGCAGCTCCCAGAGACCCCCATCTTCCATCCTTTTTTTTCTTTTTCTTCTCTTTTTTTTTTTTTTTTTTTTTTTTTTTGAGATGGAGTCTTGCTGTCACCCAGGCTGGAGTGCAGTGGCATGATCTCTATCTCAGCTCACTGCAACCTCCGCCTCCTGCGTTCTAGCAATTCTCCTCCCTCAGCCTCCCAAGTAGCAGGGGCTACAGGCGTCTGCCACCACGCCTGGTTAATTCTTTGTATTTTAGTAAAGACAGAGTTTCACTGTTTCCCAGGCTGGTCTCGAACTCCTGAGCTCAGGCAATCCACCTGCCTCAGCCTCCCAAAGTGCTGGGATTACAGGTGTGAGCCACTGTCCCCGGCCCAGAAACCCCCATCTTCCAGCCACCTGCGGGCTGTGACCCAGCCGCCCCTTCTGCCTGGTCCACTTCCTCCTCACACCCGTCCCAACTTGCTATGCCTATTCCTCCTGCCCTGGCCTCAACCTGGACATTATCTAGGTCTCCAGGGAGTCCTTCCTGGATCCCTTGAATCTGGGAAGCACCTCCTCGGCCCCCACTCCATGCGTTCCTGTTTCCTTGGCTCTGTTCTCAGACTAAGGGCTCCCTGAGTGTGTGCCTGGCACAGGCAGGGACCCTGTGAATGACAGCTGTCCATGGTAACCACTGTGTGTGGTACCAGGACCCTCACAAACCCCACCTGCCCTGGGAGGCCTTGATGCTCTCTCCCTGCCCACTAGTCAGGACTTCAGCCTGGCCTCCGGGACCTCAGGCTCAGCCACCTCTGACCCACTCAGCTGGAAGACGACCCTCATCGACAAAAGACAAAACCCAGCCCAGGGAAGACCCCCCTCCCGGCAGCCCCTGCCGGGTCTCAAGTCCCACAGACCAAGGAGCAGCAAGCCTGAGTCCCGGGGCCTTCCTTCCTGCCCAAACCTGCCAATCAGGCCCCAAAAACAGAGGCAGCTGCCCAAAGAAATCTACCAAAAAATAAAGTAGCCAGCCACAAGCAACACCAGCTCTGCGGCCTCCAACACGGAGACAAGCATTTTCCTGGGCAAGTGCCTCTGAGGAGGGCGATCCCCTCCCCGGAGCCTGCAGCCCTGCAGAACCCTTCCCTGTAACCCCCGCTCCCCACAACAGAGGCTGGGCCTGAGGGAGGCTGCACAGGGGCGGGAGGCAGCACCCCCACTGGGCCAGGGTTTAGAAACCCCCATGACTCCCTCTCCGAGTGGTCTGAAGGACAGCAGCTGGGACTCCACAAGCACCATTGCCCTAAGACAGTGATCACAGCCCCAGAGGTGGTGCAGAGACTGGACCCTTGTGGGGGCACCAGCCCCACAGGCAGTCAAGAAGGCTTCCCATAGACCCCATAGCACTGGGTTGGCCCCTGTCACAGCTCCCCTCTCCCTGTGCCATGACCTCCCTGCTCTGCAGGGGTCATGCCTGATCCAGAACCAGCTTGGGGGCGGTCACCCAGAGCAGCTGGGTGAAGGTACAATAGCCAAGGGGACAACGGCCTCCGCACTCAGGCAGAAGCGTGGACATCCCCACACAACACAGCCCGAGGATGCAGCAGGCTGAGCGTGGACAGCCCCAGGCTGGACTCAGGAAGCCAGGGTTCAAGGCCAGCTCTGGCACCTGCCAACAGGACAGGGCACCTCACGGGCCTGGGCCCCTGGCTCCTCACCAGGTAAGCTCTGTCGTGCAGGGCTCATGGGAAGTGCAACGCAAATAAAGGAGGAGGGCCACTCTAGGAACTCAGGAAGCCGCCCAGAGCAGGGCCAGAAGCTCGTCCACCTCCACCCCAAGCCACACACCGCTTTCCAGGTGTGTGGGAAATCCAGGAAGGGAAAGGCCAGCCCTGCACACAGGCATGAGGACAAATCCTCCCGCTGCTCCAGGGAGGTGTAGAGTCTGTGCGCTCCCCATGGCCTCGCTGCTTGAGCACCCCTAGTGCCCCGAGAGGCAGGCAACAGAATCCCCCAGTCTTTTCAGAAAAGCATCTCTGCTTTCACAAGAGAAGCACAGGGTCTGGGCAAAAGGAAGGGAGGAGAGGGGAAACAGCCCAAGACTGGGGTCCTCACTTGCCACAGGGCCTGTGGCAAGCCCCTTCCCCTCTCTGGGGCTCAGTCTCCCCATCCGTACAATGAGGAAAGTGAATCAGACCAGGGGTCCCCCACCCAAATGCCAAGAAAGGGAGCTGGCATGTAGCCCCCGCCAGCCACTGCCAGGAGGACATGTGGGCCTGGGGTGGCCAGGCCTTTGGGTTGTATAAAGTGAAGCCAGAAGTCTGGAGTTTTATGTGCATCCACCTCATCTTTAAATATTTGTAAAACATGCTCCTGGCCAAGTAAAACAGGACTGCGGCCAGAATCGGCCCACAGGCCATCCATCTGCGACTTCTTGTGGGTCCCTCCCAACTCAGGGCCCCGATGATCTGAGGATTCCAGAATGGTTGCAATCAACAAACATGCAGTGCTTGTTAACAGGGCACCCGGAACCACGAGGCACCCAAGACCACGCACCCACCCCCACCCCACCGGTCCCAACTTACATCTGCACGTGCGGTGGCTGGAAGCGGCCCTGGTTGATGTTGTAGAAGGTGAAGGCCTGGGTAGGGTTGGAGCTGTACTCATCCACCTCGATGATGAGCCGGCTGTGCTGGTGCCGCCGGGCGGCCATCACGTGGGACTGGGAGAACGCCATGCCCAGGCCGCAGGGGAGGAGGGCCAGGGCCTCCGCCTTCAGGACGCCAGCATCCCACCTAGAGCGCCACATGGACCTCCGCTGGCCACCCGGGCATCTCCCGCCGCCGCTGCCGCCGCCCGGCCCCCCGCCAGACCTGGAGACAGACTGAGGAGACGGAGCAGAACCGTGCGACAGTTAATCTGTTTGGGATTTGCTTTATTTAATGTCAGATGAAGATTTAGAAAGAGGGAGAGGGCGGGGGGAGAGGAAAAAAAACACAGTCGTACAGCTCAAAAACTCATTACAAATCTTTCCAACTCAGCAGTTTGATGAATATACTTTGGTAAAAAGAAAAGGGAAGGAGGGAGGGGACAAGAAAAAAAAACAGCCCGCAGCACTGTGGACGGATGCATGCACGGTCCAAAGTGTTTCAATACTTAAGGCATTTTTTCTTTTTTCCTTCAACAAAATCCTCCTGAGCCTACAGGGTGACAGCGAGCTGGGGTAAGGCAGCGGCTGGTATTTTGTAAACAGGTGAGTTAAGTTTTACTTTTCAGAGCTGCGGAATAGGAAGGATTCTCCTACAACCCTCCCCCTTCCCCCACAGACCCCCAAACACACCCACACGGCCCCACGCCCACACCCCTGCAAGCCTGAGCAGGTGGAGACTGCATTGGCAAAAATTCCTCTCTCAACATCAGTTTCTTCTGAAGCTATCTTTTGCTGGTGCCCGGAGAAGGGAGTTTCCCAGACATAGACGGTCATCTACCCGCTGGCTCAGCGGTGGTGGTGCAGGTGAGGGACCAGACGGTGAGGGAGGAGGAGCCGTTTGCAAAAACCTCATGCAATGTCTCACTACCCTCTCTCCTGTAAGGATCTCAGGAACCCTGTTGTGCCCCATCCGCCTTTGAACGGCAGCTTGAGAATGCTGCAATATTTTTTGAATCTCTTTCATCGGGAAGTGCAGCTTGCATTTATATTTACTGGGCTAAAATACCTCTCCAACTGACCCCGCCTTGGGCTCAGTGTAGAACTCTGTAGAAACGTGGAAACGTGGGCCCTGGGTGACACCCCATCCAACCCCAACACACAGCACGATGGCCGATGCCTCGTTACTCAGACCATGGAGTTGTCTTGTTCCTTTTCGTAATTATTTTTTAAACTGTGGACATGGGAAATGCCGTGAAGACTTTCTGTCGTCGTTTTCAGTTTGGGTCGTTAAGACCCTCCGACGATTCCTTTTGCACTGCATTTAACCAAGGAGAAAATAACATCATTTAAACTATTCCTGGACAGAACAATCCCCTCTGCATTGCGCTTGGAAGAAGAATCGACACGGTCAGAAAACAAATTAGATCAGGAAAATGACAAAAATTAGAGACTGGAGAACATTTTAATTATGTGCAAAGGAGAAACAGGTTATTAATTTTTTTTTAAATCTTGATCGTCTCCCTAGAAGGTGAAACAAATAGCAATATCTTCCGTCTCTCCCACCTACCCCTAAAAACACAACCTGATTCCCAACACACACTCCTCTTTTCCACCCAGGAAGACAGGGTGGGGGAAAAAAATCTTCTTTCTCCTTGGGACACATTTGCGCCATTGTTTGGTCCTGTGGGTTGTTTGTAAGTAAACTGGCTCTCCCTGTGGGTGCTATGCAGCAGACCTGTAAGTGGGGCAGTGGGGGCCTGCGCCCCACCTGTCCGAAACTACTGCCTAGCACCCAGAAGCCCTGGGAGAGGCCTCAGGGCACCAGATGCCAAAGTCCAGGACTCCGCATGCTCCAAGCAAGACTTGCCCAGATCTGGATAGGAGTTAAGCCCCAGCATAGCTGACTTGCTGTGTGACCTTAGGCCAACTTCCTAACTTCTCTGAACCTCCAGCTTCCTCTTCTTAAAATGCATTTAAGGTGCAGGGCAGTGGCTCACACCTGTAATCCCAGCACTTTGGGAGGCCAAATCGGGCAAATCATCTGAGGTCCGGAGTTCGAGACCAGCCTGGCCAACATGGTGAAACCCTCCCCCCAACTAAAAATACCAAAATTAGCTGGGCACCATGGTGCACACCTATAATCCCAGCTACCTGGGAGGCTGAGGCAGGAGAACTGCTTGAACCCGGAAGGCAGAGGTTGCAGTGAGCCGAGATAGCACCACTGCCGCACTCCAGCCTGGGTGACAGAGTAAGATTCCATCTCAAAAAAAAAAGGAAAAGAAAAACAGAAAGAAAGAAAATGGATGCGATAGCAGTAATGCCACCTCCTGGGGCTATGCAGGTTAAATGGAGAAGTAGGCAAGAATCCTGAGTGTGAAGCCTGACAGGTCCCATGTGCCGGCTCACCTCGGCTGTGATGATCACAATCACTGTTCTGTTCAATTTGATCCCTGCATATTGAGGAGCTGCTGTCAGCGGGTGCTGCCTGAGTACTGGGCACGCTTGGTTCCAGGGTGTCAAGTGCAAACCCAGGGGCCAATTCCAGGAGCTGGGGGTGCATGATAGGCCCTGGAGAGCTCAAACGTTTCTCAAATGCAAGCTGACCGCATCACATCCCTGCTTGCAATCCTTGCTGTGGCTTCTCTGATCAGCTCCCTTGACCATAAGACCCTGCGTGGTCTGGCCCTACTGTGAATCTGGCCTCCAGCTGAGCCACACAGACTGGCCCCCGTGGGCTCTTTCACCTGGAGGCCTACAGCTCACAGGGCCACGCTCTCATTCAGAACCACACAATTCCAACACTTTCGAGGGTCTTCCTCTGCCATGCTCACCATAAGAGACAGATATTGATGTCCATGTCTCACGTTTTACAATGATGCAGGGTGCATCCCACAGAAGTGACATCTCATTGCACAGAGAGGAGGTGGCAGGGTTGAGCCCCAGACCCAGCTGCCTGGCTCCCGGCTCTGCCCTCCTCTCCTGCTAGCTGAAGCTGACACCCTTCCTCTCCGCAATGCCGGTATCTCCTCGGAGAGGCCTGGATCTGGGGCCTTCATTCCAGGGTCCCAGGAAGAGCCTGGATGTCCCCTGAAGGCAGTGCTGCCCCCCACCCCCGTGCGCCCCGTGTGTCAGCTCCAGCCCCCACCAGCTCTGTGACTCTGAGCCCCTGCTCACGGGAGGGGGGCAGGCCCCCACTCCCCCACTTACAGGTCTGCTGTATAGCACCCACAGTAAGTGCTCAATAAATGTTACCTAATATTATTTTTATAACGTGATTACCCCATGGCCTATCACAAACACTTCATCGATAGTATTAGTGGATGGATGGATGGAGGGATGGATGGATGCAGAAATGATGCGGGGTCAGAGTGTCTGGAGACTTTCCCTGGTGCCCAACACAGGCCTGGCAGAGGGTGGGTATCAGGAGAGCTCAGCTGAAGACTGAAGAGTCACTGCCCGCTCCCCATCTTACCCACCGCAGGGAGGCTGCCAAGCTGGCACAGCCCTTGTGAAAGGGGGTTCCAGAGGCCCCCACCAGTCTTTGCTCCAGAAGAGCAGGTGCCAGCATGCAGAGGAGACTGCAGTCCAGGGAGAACCGCTCTGCACCAAAGGGACTGGGCCGGGAAAAGCAGGCGGCAAGGCTCCCGGAGGCGCTCCGCGGTGAAATGCTGCATTTCACATAAAGGGGGTTCGCAATGGGCCCTGCTCAGAGAAATCTGGGAAACAGGAAATGCAGCACCTTCTTTTAATGCCCATTTAATATTTATGGAGCCGCAGCAGCAGCACGTTAGCGACCGTGGGAGAAGGCGAGCATTCTCCGCCTCGCAGCGCATCCACGGAGGAGGCGAGGCATTCCCCAAACAAACAGCTTTGAGCTAGGAAGCGTTTACACCTGGTTCACAAAACAGCGCGGCACGAGAGCAATGCAGTGGCGCCCCGGGACCCGCCGCAGGGAGACCGCCTGGGCTCCGGAGTCCAAGGTCCAGGTCCAGGAGCCTGCATGCTCTCTGAGCCAGGCCTGCCCAGATCTGCATGGCTGACTTGCTATGTGGCTGGCTCTCAGTCCAGCAGAGTGACCTTAAGCAAGTCAGGCATCCTGATGGGGCTGCAGGTGCCTCTCTGACGTGGAACTACGGTGGGGAGGATGGAATGAATGAATGAATGAACGCACAACTTATTCAACAACCGTTAGCCACGGCCCTACATGCTTTCCTGGTTCCAGGTGCCAGGAAGGGCAATGGAAACACAAAAGGGTCCCTGCCTTCGAGAAATACAGGATGGCGTGGGGGGACAATAAGGGGACCAGAATTAAACAGAAAAGACACTTTCAGCTACTAATCAGTACCTGGAAGAAGACAGAGCGGGGTGATGGGGGGACTAAATTGAGTGATCAAGAAAGGTCTACCTGAAGACGGGTCACTCACACACCAGTGACAACAGCCACACCCCAACCTGGGGAATGAGAACACAGGCGGGGGGGGGGGCGGTGCTGAGTCCCCAAGGACTGGGCGGCCTGGACAAACGGTCTCACTCTTTCATCATCATGGGTCACCGGCATGCTTCTGCCAGGAAGGACAGCCCCAACTCTGAAGTCAGAGGCAGCAGGGTTCCAATTAAGTTCAATTTCGGAGCTGGGTGCAGTGGCTTAGGCCTGTCATCCCAGCACTTTGGGAGGCCGAGGTGGGCAGATCACCAGGTCAGGAGATCGAGACCATCCTGGCCAACATGGTGAAACCCCGTCTCTACTAAAATACAAAAAAATTAGCCGGGCGTGGTGGCATGTACCCGTAGTCCCAGCTACTCAGGAGGCTGAGGCAGGGGAATCTCTTGAACCTGGGAGGTGGAGGTTGCAGTAAGCTGAGATCAAGCCAGGGCACTCCAGCCTGGCGACAGAGCGAGACTCCATCTCAAAAAAAAAAATCCACCTTGGGCTGCTGAGCTGTGGGACGCCGGGCAAGTCACTCAACCTCTCTGTTTCCGCTTCTTCAGTGGCCCGTTAAGGAGTTACAGAGGGGCTGCAACAAGCCTTGCCCCTGCCCATAAAGGCCCAGTGAACCCAGAATGGAAGACTCCGGGTGCCCCCAACCCAGCATTCCTTGAAATATTCCGGCTGGCTTTAAGGGCTTGCTTTTCCAAAGTTTGATTCTCTTGTCAGATGGTTTCTCTTTCTGTTTTCCTCTTGGAAACGTTTATTTGTTGTTTCTTAGGGACCATGAGTCCAGTGAGGCCGGGGC